CGACATGTAGTTTACAAGAATAATTTAGGTGAAAGAGTTAAATAACCCACCCTGTGTATCCCAGTACAGTAATGATTCTTAAAATGAACTCCAGACGAGATTCGTAAATTGAACACTTCTATCCCTCCCAACTGTTGTAATCTTAGCGTCGAACTTCGCCCCTGTACGAAGAATGAACAGACCAACCCTCAGAGTGATCATTTTAAGAATCACTATTGTACCCGTCAAAGATAAAATAATTCCCAGCTATTATGGCCTGATGGAATTTTATAAATCCGATATAAAGGAGAAAATGGAGGTCAGATCCATGCTAGAAGCTAGCTGACGAACGAAATTTGCCCGACTAAGTTACTCTCGAGCCGATCGAGCGTTCTCAGAATGTCGCGAACCAACGTCGGTTGGCATTCAGAGTAGCGTGGGTGTCACGAAGCAAGGTACGCGGGTACGCTGCGCAGAGAGCCACGGGGCCAAAGTCATCCGCGCAAATTACTTGGCCGCCATTAATGAGGGTCTTCGGTCGGCACACGTCGAAAGTCATTGCGGTCCCGGGGAGATCGACTCGCTCGGTCGGCCACTTAATTCTTTCGAGCCGTATCGGCGCGGGTCAGCCACGAAAGAAAGGAAATGCGAGCGCTGCCTTTCGCGAAGTAATTAAAACCGTCGTATCTGGCCGGGCAGCGTCGTTAATTACCGCTAATTACTCCCGGTCCCTTCCGTGCTCCGGCGTGTCTCGTTACCGGGAGATTTCGGTCGCCCGGCGAACGGTTCCGCCTGATGTCCGTCATATTTCGCGCTCGATAAATAACCCGCGATTAACAGATAGGTGTAAAGTTGAGATAGCGATACGGTCGCGCGAGACTTTTTCATCCGTTCCGCTTGAATACTTTATAACACGGACTTCGCTCGAAAGGAACGCTCGAAAGGAACGAATCCTGGCACCCGTGACCGCTCCTCCAGGTGCAACCAGTGTGCCCCGCGACTTCAAAATTTACGACATCGCACATCTGTATTGCACAGGTCACGCTTCGATAAACATTACATACGATGGTGACAAAAATTATTTTGATATCTGCATATTTTTTAACGATATATGGACTTATTGAGACTGTGATTATACACAAAGAAGGAATGAAGCTCATGATTTTTGGACAACCATATTCTATATTAATTCTCTATTTTATAGTTACTGATACCATTAGGTGATGTGTTTTGAGAGTTGTAAATCGAGATTGCAGAAGTGTTTTCATATGACCCTCCCATTCCGAGAAAAATGATTCCTAAAATCCTTCAAACACAATACTGCGTGTATGTAACTATTATTTAATTGCGTTTGTTTTCATAAATCCTCTTCTCTCATCTCAATCCCTGTTATTACCGCGACGAAGAGTAAACTGTTATTATCCCTGTTTCGAGAGCTTGTTATTAAAGACATCGTTATCAGCAATTTACTAATTAGCGCAATTAAAGAATTATAAGAACGTTAAGAAATGCAACACCTGCTCAAAGCGTTTCCTTCACGACCGCTGATCCTTCTGCAAACATAGATAGGATCAGTTTGTTTAGCGTCTGATAAACTGAGCCATATGAGTACGTGTAAGTACACATCTATGACTGGCTGTAAAAATTTATACTACTAATCTTCGTTGAGCTTTATATTTTCTGTAAACTATACTCAGATTAAGAAATATACAACACAGTACTTTCTCCAGTCGTCTTTTTTAATCCTGTTCTTTTAACCTCCATCTTGCACCGAAATTTTCCCAAACGTTGCCCCATTTTATCATTGCCTACCAGTCTAAACTCTTTTTTTTTTAAATTCATGTTTTACGTCACATAGACTTGCTGCTGGGTTCTCTTCTTTTGGTGTAGTTATATTTCGTGGTAGATGTTGGTTTATTTTATATTTTTCAAGGTATTTCCTATATCTTTCTGTGACATCAAGGCTATAGTTGATGTTTTCTTTGAACGTAGTATCTATTACATTTAAAATCTTTAAAGTCTCACAATTCTGTATAAACTCAAATTGAGTAGGCGCTACGACGAACGTTCACCCCCCGATTAACTGCAATCCTCGACATTTCTGTCCACCCCCGGTCGTAAATGTCTTAATGCGTGCAAGCACGCTAGAATAAAGACGTATTGTTAATACTATTATTAATACGTCGCGAGCATGTGCCACAACCCCGTTCGCCGTTTCATCGATCAGTGGAGTCGGTGCACGAAGCGTACCCGCATCGGCAATGAAAGACTCAAACCGTCACACCCACGCGTGCCGGCCACCTACAATCGGGCAGCGACAGAGGGACGTCAGCCAACGGGACGTCCGAAACGTCAAAGTCAAGACGCCGGGGCGGAGGATCTGAGACGTCAGCCGACCACGTTGCTGAAACGAGCGGCATGATTTAATTACCCGCGAGCAACCGACGCACAGAGAGGTACTAAACTCTTCTCTTTCCCTCCGCGCGATCGCGGTCTCTATCCATTCTTGCCGTCCTGGCAATAGCTCCAGCTCCGGGGCCTCGCTGGAGATTCACGATCACGGCGCGATAGGACGCGACGATACGATCGATGCGATCGATAAAAGACCGCTAAGGACAATCGAGAGACTGGACGTCGATCGTCGCCGCGCGACACTCGAAAGCAGCCACCGCCGCGACCAAACCGGAGGGGGAGAGAGGGAGGATTGGAGCGAAGAGTTATTCAGTAATTAGCGGAATAGCATGGCCGCGGTGAGGCGCCGGGGCATCGTTGATCGAGAAACGAGCATCCACCGAAGGGTGGACGCGAGCAACACGGGGCCCCGCGTACACGCGATACGTAGCACGGTGATGCATGCGTACAGCACTCTGAAAAGAGGTCCCCGGTTCCATGGAATTGAATTGCTCCCGACGCAACGTTCCCTCTATTCTTGCATCAATCTGCGTTAGGGATACTTGCCACGGGAATCACCACTTTTTGCTCCCTGGGCTGCATTGCAATTTATTCGTAACGTTTATTCCGTGAAACACGATTTCAATCCTCAAGTGGATTATTGGGACAGCTGGGACAAGTTTAAACTGATAATTGTTTAATATATGACAATGTAATTATTCGTTATTTTTCTATTCGTATAGTACGTTATTTTTTAAATGGTTTAAAGGAAAGTTGAAATTTGGTAAAAGTCCACTTGAGGGTTAAAGTAAAAAGATTCATCAAACTAGTTTAGAAGCTCCACGTATGCGTCTATGAATTTTTATTTTATTGTTTTCGTGTGTAGAATCTAGTCTTAAAGTGGGTCCCACATGCTACGAGATACCCTGTATGTGGTCGATCGAGTGCTTGCGAGAGAGGTACAGGTTCAGTAGCCCTCTAGTGGCCAGCGCGAGAAGTTGCGCGTCTTGACGAACGATCCCCAACTCGAAGGAGCTACTCCATTAGTACGAGACTACTTAGGACGACGGACACGAGCAACACGATACGTAGCACAGCGATGCACGCGTACAATTCGAAGAAAAGAGGCCCCTGGATCGGCGGAATTGAAATGCTCCCATGGAACTAATAGTCCCACGTTCGTTTCTCCTCGCGCTGAGTTAGCAGCGCGTCGATACCTTCGCCATTGAATCCGCTCGCAACAAGATACGAGAGACGCGTCGCCCGGAGGATTTCTTGCGCGATTACCCAGGGGAGGAAGATCCCGCCCGGTGATAATGCGCTCGCCGTGTCGCGGAATCCGTCGCTTAGGTGGACGTGACGGAAGAAATGGAGAGCCATTTTTCCTGGTCAGCAAGCTTTGAACGTTTCCATGCCGATTCCAATGCAGGGGTTTCTAATTACTGGTCGACGTATTCGAATCTTCGATCGCGGGGAATTAATGGATGCTAGAAGGCCAGTCGATGCAGAAATCTTTGCGGTCCTCGTTTGACAAAATGAAAATATATTCTGACTCTTTTTTAATATTACACTATATGATATTTACACCATGTGAAATATTCTTCTTCATACTGTAATGTGAGCAGACTATAATACACTATATAGTCATTTACCTGGTGTACAAATGTATTGAATAGCTCAAATAAATATTCTGAACATGTTTTTTCAAATAGTGTTTTTAACCAGTTCCACGAAATTTTGAATATTACAGGCACTCGATTAACGCTTAAATGGATTATTTGGCCCTCCACAAATTGAAACTAATAATTGTTTAATATATGTGAATGTACTAAACAATTTAGTAAAATTCAACATTAAGTAACATAATTCTATTGAGATTAAAAGCCCACTTAAGGATTAAGCGCAATAGTATTTTTTCAATATTAATCCTGAACTTAACCTCGAATTAATATATTCCATTTTTCCGCGATAAGAGGCCCCCAATTTAATGGAGCTACGTGCCTTCATTTTGGGCGATCGTTTATTCAGTATGCTTTGAAATACCGACCAGTAGCAGAGCTCGCGACCGTCTTGCGTCAGATTCGCCAAGGTTTGAATTTCGTTGCACATTTCGGTGCAGTCCGCGCGGAGCATCTGCACAATGGGGGATAACGCGAGCCATGCTCGTGCACCTGTAGCACGGAACGAGAGAAAGAGATCGATCAACGGCAATTCGAGCTAGTCTAGATGCACACGTTCCGACCATTTACTTCCACCACTTCCACGATCCACGACTGTCCGTACACGCTCGCGACCATTCGTACACGTTCGTGCACGTGTATGAGAAGATAAACGGGGCAACAGGTGGGTTCACGCTGAATCCGCTTTGACCCATTTCAACCAGTTTCCTTCCCACGTCCCGTCCGGAGGAAATTTCCTACGCGTTTCCCGCGCAAACTTTCCCCGAAAGCATTCACCCTTCTGGATCCACGGGGATTTCATGACTCTTTTCCCGCTCGCAGATTCGATACCAACGAAAGCGTTGAGTTTTCCAACCAGAAACCACGCGAATGTAAATCAAACATTTTATATCGACTTTGGTACGGAAGAGAGATATTTATACGCGTAATTGAAATTTACTGACCATTCGTCGCGGTTCGGTTCTCATAACATTTCGGCGTCCTGCTCGTTCCAGGGCTTTCTCTCGCTCCAGCGATCTTATCGCCTCAACGTTTTTCCGTCGCTAAACGTTACGCCGATACTCACACCTGTGATTAGTCCACGCATACCTGAAACAGACCGGGGAACGTTTGAATCCGTGTATTTTCGGTAGCGCTGGTCTTTGAACTCTGGACGTCAGGACTCTGTTCGCAGCTGTTTGAACGAATTCTCGATCCTAGGTTCAGATAAAAAAGGTAGGTTCGAATCGGGGAGGGCGGTGCAAGGAACGTTTAGATTTGTGTATTTTCGGGAGCATTGTTCTTTGAACGTCAGGCTCTGTTTGCAGCTGTTTGAACGAATTGGCGATTGTAGATCCACGTAAAAATGCTAGGATGCTCGAATCAGGGATGGCAGTATAAGTAATGTTTAAATTTGTGCATTTTCGGGAGCATTGTTCTTTAAACTATGAACATTAGGTTCTGTTTGCAGCTGTTTGAACGAGTCGGCGATTCTACTTCCAGATAAAGAAGCTAGGTCGTTCGAATCAAGATGGGCGATGTAAGGAATGTTCAAATCTGTGTATTTTCGGTAGAATTCTTCTTCCAACTCTGAACGTCAGATTGTGTTTGAACAAACCATCGATTCTAGGTCTAGATAACAAATCTAGGACATTCGAATCAAGGAAGGCCATATGAATTTGTACACTTTCGCTAGGATGGTACTTCAAACCTTGAACCTACCAGATTGTGTTTGAAACTGTTTGAACGAGTCGTCGATCCCCCATAAAAGCCAGAACATCCAAATCAAAGAGGACGATACAAGGGTTGGTATATCGACTACGTGCAAAAGACGATGGGCGTTAAGGAACAGCAGGAAACAGACATTTTGTGGTAAAAATATTTCACGCGCGACAGCCAGTGGATACACACGGCCGACAGATAGGTCTTCCTGTAGCGGACTGGTTTGAAACGTGGACGATTACGGACGTGAAATACCGTCGACGCGAATACAGGTTCCTAGGATCACCGGCGTCGTCGTTCCTCCTCCTCTCGTTTTTCGTCCGCGTTTCGACCGTTCCGTGGACTGTTCGTTTGCGACACCACGGCACTCAACAGCAACGATATCGCTTTAGTGTCCCCGTGGCAGGGCAATCGCTCTTTTTGCATAACTTCCCACGCTTCGCGGCTCGCGGCCAGCTGCTTCGGAGTCCAGTTAGCTCGAGTTATTTAGCGCTCCGTTAATATCGTGCTCGTGTAACGACCGTGGCTCGCTTTCGGGACCGTTCGCGGTTAACTGGAAACCCTTTACGCCCCGTGAGAACGTTTGTAAGACGAATTAGATCCCTCGCGAGCCTCGTTTCGGCTGCACCGTCTCTTCGAGGATCCTTGTTGCGAATTAACCTTTTACTACTGTTTCCTGGCCTCCTCAGAGCGTACAGGTGCATGAAAATGTTTTATTCCAACTGTTACAGGACACTTTAAACTCTCAGACCAGTGGAAATCCGTCAAAACGAGTTCTCGTAAAATTAACAATCATTGATCTTGACGAACGAAATGTATTTTTTATTTTAAAATTGCGCTAAAATTGGGGACCTTTCTCTAACAAAAAAATTTTAATTGAATTCTCAAGCAACTAGTTCGAGCAAAGGTTCACAAAGAGCTTCCACGAGAGCGAACGCTGAGGCGCTGAGGCAACCCCTCGGTGGGGCTGTCAGAAAAATCTTAGACATCGCGTTGCAGGTGTTAATTTCGCGGTGAAGAAAAAATTGAGCAAACGTCGGAAAGCCGGTTGCTCGCCGGACACGAGCCGAACGCCTGGGTGCGCCCGTATTTGCACAGCGCTAATTTCACGCAATGAAGATCATACACGAACAAACGATCCGGAATACCTCGGGGCGCGGGAACGTTTATTTAACGTCGCAAAAAACACGCGGCTGTGAAACACCGCGGTCTCCGGGCGTAATTTTCGCGTGAGAAAAACCGTAAAATCGTCCGGGCCGTCTCGAGTCTAGGAATTGAGCGATCACGTCTCGCGTGCTCTCGGATTTGCATACTGCGGTTCTGGCTGCTTTTTAAATTCGTGCTCTTCGTCCTACGAACGCGAGTTATAATTAGTTGATTCACGCCGTCGTTCCTGGGCTTTCAATTCTACTCGGTGACTCGTAAACCACCAAAACAGTGAAGTTTTAATTATCATTGCGAGAGTAAGCGAAATTTTAAAACTGGATTCAGAAGCCACTCTAGTAAATTTTACGTTTCATTCTATTTCGATTTTGTGTTATTTGTCAAAGGTAGCAATTATTCACACCTTTGATCGTAGAGAACAACAACGAATTTTTAAGGGTAGTTAATGATACACCAAAAAAATCAATATTGAGCTGAGGCCTGAATAAATTCCCAGTTGGGTTAAACAAATATATTTTTGGGTCGTTTTCGAGGCGACAGAAATATTAACACGTAAGTTGTTTATTTGAGAAACTATTTCCATGCTCGTTGAGAGGTTCCTTTCTGTGGTGTTGCGGTTATTACGTTATAATCCTCGACGAGACTTTATCTAGTGGCTGAATAGAAAAAGGTGAACCTATGTCAACGACCCCTCGTCAGATCTAACATCCCCTTCAGATTTTTTTCTATGGGGGACCGCACGAAATCGAGGATGTATCTAGATCGAAAATCTGATACGCGCCAGCAATTGATAGCGAACATCAAGGGAAACGGCTGCTAGCATTAGCAATAATCCCGCCAATATTCAGTGGGTGCGGTCAATGGAAGCACGCCTACGTCCATAGAGACACAATGTAGTAATTCGTATCAGCCAGCGTGAATCAGCGTAAATCGGTGTAAGTCGGTGTGAAAACAATTGCACGTAATTTAAAATAAATAGTTGCCATTAAAAATTTCACCCACCGTGTCTCGCGGATAAAGACTAATCGACCCACAGCGTATACAAGAGTTCTGTTCAAAGGAAAATTCGATTTTGTTACTAAACACCTTGTAAATGCAGACAGGGAAGAATTACAATTCCGTAATGCCTCGTTGAGAAACGATATTACGCGTTATTGGCTGCGTTCGATCGTCTGAAATCGGAGTCCTCGGTGAATTAGCGACGATACGATGCAGATATCCGAAGAAAATCCATGCAATTAATTTTCTCTGACGACACCGGTAAGTCTTCGTTGAAACCGTCAGGCTAATTGCTTTCGTTTTGTACGCGGGAAAACTTGCCGGGTTCTCCGGCTACAATTAGACAGCCTCTTTTCGCGAGCCTCGGGTATCATAACTTGAGCGAAACGAATCCCGGGCTTCGCAGATAACGGTTAATTAGCTTCCACCTCATCAGCGCGGTCTGTCACGTTCCTTCGCGACTAACTCTAACGAGAAAAACTCCATCGCCGATCGAGGCTGCGGTTGATCCGTGGCCTCTAACGTTTTTAGCGGCGATTTTTCGTTTGGACGCGGCGAGACTCGGTTATATACCAGATACTCAAAAAGTTGCGAATTGGAGATGAGAAATCTGAGATCGTTAATCAAATACAATTAATTATTCCAATTAAACGATGTCATTTGATATAGGAGGCGTTGTTTGGTTTTATTGAGAGGATGTGTGGTTCTCTTCATGGTGTAACCAACCCCCAAAATAATATTAATCTTCAACAATTTAATTTGAATAAAAAATAAAGAATTGGATAAACCGTCATGCGTCTATTTATGTTATACGAGTATTTAAGAGTGGAACGAGAATAGTGTGAAAATTGTGGAAAATAATAGAACCGAAATTAAAATTGACGTTAATTTGAAAAATGCAGGGAAATGTCGGGTAAAATAAAATTGGGAATAAGCAGTCTGTATCGAGAACGTGGAAACCTTCTAATAAACGAAGTATATTTTTAATAAAATATATAAGTCGTGATTGTTACCCTTTTTATGTTACAATTTTAGTAAGGGAGAAACTAATGTGACTTTGACATACTGGAAATTGAATAAAGAATAACGTTTCTAAATTCTAAAATAGTCTTTTGAAAAAAATAATAAAGAATACAGAAAGTGTATAAGAAACAATAGAGCTGAGTTTGTGAATCAGAGTTCTTGCTATGTAGGGTAGAAGAATTATAGCGAAAATTAAGCTACTATTTTTCCCTTTAATATTTCGTACATTCAGAGTTTCTTTCGGCCGCTAGCGTATGGCGCAGAAACAAACAGGTGGACGGGTAATAAAACAATAACGCACGGTAAACAATAACTATATAGAATGCATTGTTGGGGACGGTAGCCACGTTGTCAATACGGGACAGGACGGGTGCAACTCATAACGGATGGCGCGTATATTTGTGGAGGCGCGATAACGGCTAGACGATGGACAAACTTTGACAATTCCAACGGTACATTTTTATTTCTATTTCGTAAAAACGAAATCTCTGTACCGAGAGTCGCGATATAGCTTCCTTTGTTTGCTGGGACGACGCTCCATTGTCTCTGGTATCGCCAGAACGATTCGAAATTATTATTTTCAGACAAGGGAAGTCAATCCTTCCGATACTACAATATATAACGGCTGTTTCACTTAATTGTAAATTCGAAATTATTTTTTTTCATAAATTATACCCAAAAGGACCCTAATTGTGTTGAACATTTTCTCTTGTATTAATAAACCATGGTGCATGGTTCATCTATTGTTTAATATTTTCAGAGCAATTAAAGGTGTTCAGACTATAATAATAACATTTATTATTTCATCCAAAGTCGATAAAAAAAAGATATTTGTATCTCGAAATGTTAAAGAATATATGTGGAAATAGACCCTTATTGCTGTAAAAAAAAATTGTCAAATATCGCTTCTCGTTTCACCATTTTACACGAGTCTGCCCCTTTAATGTGCACGAATACGAGTGGGGGAGTAACTGTATATATTTACCACCAACACAGAGAATTAGCTAAAATATTTCGCGTCCGTCGTACTCATATATCTCGAGGTAACGATATTCCGGGGCGTAAAATGGTAATGATTGCCGTTGCCGGGCGTTATCGTGGCATCTCTGGATCGCGATCGAGACGAAAATCGGTACGGGTCGAAGCATATTACACCTCGTTTAGTCAAACAATTTGGAACACCTAATCACGATTACACGGGT